GCTGAGGCAAGAGAATCACGTAAGCCCAAGAGTTGGAGGTTGCTGTGAACTGTGACGCCATGGCACTCTACCAAGAGCAACACAGTGAGACTCTGTCTCAAAAAAAAAAGAAAAAACATATGACACAGCTTAAGATGCATTCTTGCTGCAATAAGAGTTATCACAAGTGTGACCTGTTAATACTATGACATTTCTCTTCATGAAAGTCAGAACCCAAGAATTTGCAGCTGCATCTCCCGCAAATATCCAGGGTATAGCATTTTATACATCTTTAAACAAAATAGAAAAGAAAAAGATGATTAAATGTTCCCAAAAAACACTGAAGAGGGAGAAACTTTCAATTTAAAGAAAAGAAAAGCTTCCCCAGGCTTTGCCAATGTGAGACAGGACACAGAATATAACTTGCTAATATCAATGCCAGGTTAAAATTAAATTGACTGCATTAAAAAAATTTTTTTTACACGGGTAGACCCAGCAACTCGGGAGGCTAAGACAGAGAATCGCCCTAGCCCACGACCTGGAGGTTGCTGTGAGGAGCTGTGACGCCATAGCACTCTACTGAGGGCAAGAAAGTAAGACTCTGTCTCAGGAAAAAAAAAAAAAAAATGTTTAAATAGGCCTGCAACAGAAGCTCACACCTGTAATCCCAACACTTTGGGAGGCTAAAGCAGAAGGAACGTCTTAGGCCAGGAATTCAAGACCTCATCTTTATAAAAAAGTTAAAAATTACACAGGCATTGTGGCACATACCTGTAGTCCTGGCTACTCAAGAGGCTGAGGTAGGTAGATTGGTTAAGCCCAGGAGTTCAAGGCCGCAGTGACATATGATCAGGTCACTGTACTCCAGCCTGGGAAATAGTATAAGACCCCACCTCTTACAAAAAATCAAAAACAAAAACATAAAACATCAAGGGATGGTTTAAAGTGTCCATCTACAAAACCAGGATTAGATATTTAGCCACATGCCTCATGTGATCTACTTGGGGGAGAGCCCCTCCCACAAAGGATCAAGTGGCCTTCACAATATGACGCATGCCACAAAGGGCCTGAGACCTCCCTCCAGGAAGACCATCAGTCTTGGTTATTCAGAAAAACACACTCACTTGACAAGTAACTATAGTATATACTCACTGTCGAAAAAGAACCTTCGCCAAGAATTTTCCCAAACTTGAAGTCTTCCGGCCGTTTCTTCCGAGGCTGCAGTGCTGGCTGGGCAGCATGTTGCAGGGAGCTGGCACTTGGTCGGGATTCAGCTGTGGTGCCATCCATGGTGGGGCCTTGCCTGCTACTGCCACCACCAGGAATACCAGGGACCGTGCCAGACTCAGTCTGGGTCCTCACCATTGATGGGGATGGGCAGGAACATAATACCACACTGGACTGAATAGGAACGGTGTCATACTGGTGGACACAGAGGAAAGAGAAGTAAGAATCAAAGTGGCTTACTTGTCCTGAATGTCTGGGAGCAAGTGTTAGTACTTATTCTTGATATTGCTAAAGCACAAACCCAAGGACAGGGCCACCATCTGACCTTCTGCTCTGTGCCTGCAGCCCTTCCTCCTCTCCCATGTCCTCCTCCCCATTCCAGCCACCCACTACTCCCAAGCAGTGCCTTACCCTCTCCCTCACTGCCCCCAAGGCCAGGCTAAAGCAACCTGAGATAGCACTGTACACTGATAATTATGGGGGGATGAATAGATTAAGAGTGATGATTAAACTGTTTACAATACACAAAGATACCTAACACTGGCAAGACTATGAAAAAGCAAGCATACACATACAACTGGGGCTGGCACCAAAACTGGTGTGGCTGTGAAAACATTTCTGGAAAGCAATTTGGCTTTTGTCAACAAAGTGACTACACAACAGTTGTCAATGAGACACAAAAGAAATACGAAAAAGATGAGGGTAAAAAAGTTAACAATGAAAGTGGGCACTCAAGTGGCTAAGGCGCCAGCCACATACACCTAATGTGGCGGGTTTGAATCCAGCCTGGGCCCGCCAAAACAACAATGACAGCTGCAACCAAAATTCTAGAGCAGCAGAAACTGTACCAAAAGCAGGAAAGACAGGTGGACACACAGCAACCAACAGCACACAGAGGAAAGCCAGCTCAGCCACCGAAACAGCACTAATGGTACTCCTCATCTTAAGTCTGAACAGCACATTACAAAGACAAAAACAAATCTAGACAGAACATTCTGTAACCCAAACATGACGAACACAGAGACTGAAAAGGGGAGGTGGCAGACTGCAGGAACAGGCGGCTCCTGGGCAGTCCCTATGGCCCAGCATGTCACAGGAGGCCTCCCAGGGAAAGTGGCAGAGGCAGGGTCTCCCAGAAGACATGCCCTGTCCCAGCTCTAGACCTGCACCACCACCAGCAGGACAGAGGCTGTTTTTTCTCACAGTCTGCTAAATTCACTGTAACTCTAGACAAGGTATAAAAATACAAAGGAGTTTTAACCAAACACACAGAATCCAGGAAATATGACCAACTGACTTCATAACAAATATCTAAGAGTCTGATTAACAAGATGTGCACATTTTCTAGTGTGCCACTAGGTGTTTAAATGATCACTTAAACCATTAGCAAATGCCTAAGTTCACAAAGTTGAACATTAAGAAAAATTAAAATATGTGCAAGTATTTCCCATATACAAAACCTCTCAGACACACAGTCATCACTCTTAGTCTCCCTCACAGAAACTCACCCAACAAGAATGATTCCATGCATTTTAAAGCCATATTTATAAAATATTCCACTGTGGCTTTGCATATTGCAGCAAAATTTTAGAACAGCCTACATGCTTACAACACATAGTAAATAAATAAACCAGAATATGTACAATTAGTGGAATATTACGCAGCCCTTAAAAATAGATACAAAGGCTATAGGAACATGATTGCAAAATTAAAACAACTGGTGAATCTGGGATAAGAAGACAGTGGGGGCTCAGCGCCTGTGGCTCAAGCAGCTAAGGTGCCAGCCACATACACCTAAGGTGGTGGGTTCAAATCCCCAGCCTGGGCCCGCCAAACAACGATGGCTGCAACCAAAAAATGGCCAGGCGTTGTGGCGGGCGCCTGTAGTCCCAGCTGCTTGGGAGGCTGAGGCAGGAGACTCGCTTGAGCCCAGGAGTTGGAGGTTGCTGTGAGTAGTGATGCCATGGCACTCTACCCAGGGGGATAGCTTGAGGCTCCGTCTAAAAAAAAAAAAAAAAGAAGACAGTGGGTTTTCTTTTGTTTTTATATTCTTGTTTCTAAGCCAGTTGAATTTAGCAGTGAGGGCTTGGATAGCAAAAGGCTGCAGCAGGAGGATCATATGAGCCCAGGAGTTTGAGGTTGCAGTGAACTATGATCACACTGCTGTACTCCAGCCCAAGCAACATAGCAAGACCCTGTCTCCAAAAAAAAGCCCCCAAAACTGTATGAATATTAATACTGCAAAAATGTTACAAACACACCTACAAGAGAGACTGATGAGAAAAGGACAAAATTAAAAGTGGTTGTTAAAGTAGTGAAATATAATGAATTTTTTTGACACACTTTTAACAGAACTAAAACAAAAATCCAAGCTAAATATAACTTTAACCCAAAGTTTCCATCCAAGCTTTGTGCTGGCAAAAGGTGGACTGGTGGCCTCAAGGGCGCAGATATACTCCTTGCGTGCCCAAGAGGTTGGCTCAGCAGCCAGAGAGAACATCAATGTCTGGTACCCCTGGAATCATGAAGACCTCGAGACTCTTGGGCTCACCAAAAATGCCCACAAACTCTTCAATCAGGGACTCCCGAAGCTCAGTGACTAACCAGCCTTCCCAAGTATGTGACCTGCTACAGGCTCCAAAAGGGGCCAGGCCTGGCACATGTGTGACCAGCAACACACACTAGCTGGACTGGGCACCCAGGAGCACATTTATTTATGGAAAGCTACTATCCTGAAAGCTCCTGAGGCTCAGCAGTCAGCCAAGTGTGCCACACCAGCTCCATGGATACTCCACCTCATGAGAGGGAACTGCAATCAAAGTTGGTTCTGGGATTCTGTGGGTACATTAATTTTTGTCCTTATAATCAAACCCTGTTACAACATAACCAGACTCCAGTAACTCTCCCTCAGAGATTAGCAAGAACCTTCCATCTGCAGAAACAACAGTAAGTGGGAAAAAGGTTATATTCACCAGCCCCAAGTCACCAAGAATCGTGATCAGCTTGAACTGTCCCCATAAGGCAGCTAACCATTATGTGGACAGTAAATGTGCCTTGCAAGGTTCCTGGACACAGCAAAGAGTCTCCAAGGCCACCCTGTGAGCAAACTCTGGACTGTGAAACAGCAGAACTGTGCTCACCTACAGGGACATGCACAAAGGGAGGTGAAGGAGCCAGACCTTCATGCTCCCCATCTCAACACTTCAGCACCATTGCAAACTCACCTAGCCACCCTGCGGGCAGCCATCACTGCCCAAGTGGGGGAGATGAGAGTATTGCCTGTTTCATCAATGTGAAGCTGACGTGGACATCTGTGTATCCAGCCTCCTGCCAGGCAAGGCTCAAGAAGACCATGGGAGGGATGCACAGGATGGTGACAAAAACCAGCTTCTACAAGTTAGGCTCCAGCCCAGGGGTCCTCAAACTTTTTAAACAGGGAGCCAGTTCACTGCTGCTCAGACGGTTGGAGGGCCGGACTGTGGGCCCCAGGACAAGTCGGCTGCTAAGCAGGACAGGCAGTGGCAGCAAAAACACCCAGTGAGCCAGATAAATGTCTGAGGCAGGCCGCATGTGGCCCATGGGCCATAGTTTGAGGACCCCTGCTCCAGCCACTTCTTCACTATGTGAGAGGCGTGGCCCAGCCCTGAGCAGCACCGCAGAGTATGCAACATCAGAGACCAAACCATAGGGCAGCTTGCATGAAAAGCTTCAATTTAAGCAGAGATTTAAGGGACTGCACTGCTTTTTATTAGAAACCAACAAGTGAACTACTGAGTATAACCTCAAACATGAATGAATCCCCCCCCCCCAAACAAAATCTCCATCATGTCACTCCAGGCTAGAGTGTAGTGGCATTGTCATAGCTCACAGTAACCTCAAACTCTTGGGCACAAGCAATCCTCCTACCTTAGCCTCCTAAGTAGCTAGGACTACAGGTGCATGCCACCACACCTGGCTAATGTTTATAGGTTTTTTTGGCCAGGGCTGGGTTTGAACCTGCCAGCTCCGGCATACGGGGCTGGCACTCTACCCTTTTGAGCCACAGGCGCCATCCTATGAGGTTTTTTTTGTTTGTTTGTTTAGTTTTTTGGTAGATACAGGGTCTTGCCTGTAGCTCAGAGGCTGGGGCACCAGTCACACACACCAGAGCTGGCAGGTTCAAACCCAGCACAGGCCTGACAAACAACAATAACAACTGCAGCCAAAAGAAAATAGCCAGGCATTGTGGCGGGCACCTGTAGTCCCAGCTACTCGGAGGGCTGAAGCAAAAGAATCACTTAAGCCCAACAGTTCAAGGTTGCTGTGAGCTGTGACACCATAGCGCTCTACCGAGGGTCACCCTCAGTAGAGTGCTGTGGCGTCACAGCTCACGCAGCAACCTCCAGCTTTTGGGCTTAGGTGATTCTCTTGCCTCAGCCTTCCAAGTAGCTGGGACTACAGGTGCCTGCCACAACTCCCGGCTATTTTTTTGTTGCAGTTTGGCCGGGGCCGGTTTTGAACCCACCACCCTCAGTATATGGGGCCAATGCCCTACTCACTGAGCCACAGGTGCTAACTGAATGAATTTCTTAAATAACAAAAAATGACAGGCTGGTTCATGGACCTGGAAAAATGTGACCACACATGCTCACTTCGGCAGCACATATACTAAAATTGGAATGATACAGAGAAGATTAGGATGGCCCCTGCGCAACGATGACACGCAAATTTGTGGAGCATTAAAAAAAAAATGTGACTATACATTGACATGCTTCCAGCCACAGCAACAAGTCCAGCAAAGGTGCTGACAAAGCTGTCACATGGCAGTTTTAGCCCAGGCACAGGGCAGCCCTGCTTCTTCTTTGTGGCAGGACTTCAGCCTTGGGAGGTGCTACAAACAACACACAAGAGCAATGAGTTTTCCAGAAGGTCAAGGCAATGGATGAGGAGACAGTAACGCAGGCAGCCCAGTCCATACCAACAGGAAACAAAGGGCACAAAAAAAGCAGGCCTGTGTGGGGATAGAAAACTTAAAGGGACATTAAACAGCAAAGAATGCTTATGCTTGCCAGACGTTGTGGCTCACACCTGTAATCCTAGCACTCTGGGAGGCTAGGACAGACAGATCACCTGAGCTCAGGAGTTCGAGACCAGCCTGAGCAAGAGCAAGACCCTGTCTCTACTAAAAATAGAAAAACTAGCCAGACGTGGTAGTG